GGTACCGGCTACGGCCGTGTCATGAATATATGTACATAGGCGTCACAGCCAGGCCCATGGCCTCACACTTGCTTCAGTTATCCCGCTCAGCTTTCTGGCCCTGCCGTCAGAGAAGACTCAAGGTTTCTTTTCTGATTACATTCACTGGCCCTCCAATTGGCGTCCGAATGCTGCCAGAATCTTTTCTGAGAGACTGCGGGAAACCAAGTATGAGGATCATGCGTTATCCATGGATCCAACGCCTTCTCCTTTTCCACTAGCCTTCTTGGAGAAGTCCTGATCATGTGTCACCCTGACGAGGCGCCCTATCCTCTGACTTGCGCCCACCAACCATGGCACCTCCATTCACCCCGCTTTTTATCGATGGGCAGCAAGTTCCTGCTGGCGACAACGCAACGTTTGAGGTCCTCAACATCTCCACCTCCACCGTCGTCGGCACCTCCGCCTCAGCATCGAGCGTGGACTGCACCGCCGCTGTCGAGGCCGCTGGGCGTGCATTCGCGAGTTGGGAAAAGACGACGCCCTATGCGCGGCGCGATATCTTTCTGAAGGCAGCAGACCTCGTGAGCTCTGACCGGTGGCGCGACCTCGTCGTGAAGGCACTCATCGAGGAGACGAACTGCTCAGCTGGGTGGGCTAATATCGGATACATCGGTGCCGCCCCACTCCTGCGCACCGTCGGGTCGTTTGCGAACGATCTCACGGGCAAGACCTTCCTGTCTTCTTCTGTACCAGGGGTGCAGTGCAAGATGGAGCAGCGAGCGATGGGTGTCATGTCAGTGTGCTACGCAAAAATACATATTGTATCTTGGCTGACCGGGCGTGCAGATTCGGGATTGCGCCTTGGAACGCGCCCTTTACGCTGACGCTCCGCGCGATCGCAGTGCCCGTCATGTGCGGGAACACCGTCGTTATCAAGTCGTCCGAGTATAGCCCGCGTGCTCAGGCACTTGCAGTGCAGCTTTTACACGAGGCCGGCCTCCCGAACGGTGTCGTGAACTACATTTCCATGTCGCGGGAAAGCTCCCCCGCACTGACAGCGCAAATTATTGGGCATCCACTCGTCCGCAAGATAAATGTAGGCTCTTCCTTTTCCACGGGATACAGGATTGGTGCTTAATTCTGGTTAAGTTCACTGGGAGCGACCGTGTTGGCCGCATAATTGCCATGGAAGCAGCAAAGCATCTTAAGCCCACCGTCCTCGAGCTAGGCGGGAAGGCGCCCGCAGTGGTATGTCAGCTCGTTTTGATTCCGCGTTTTTCTGTCAATCGCTTGAAAGGTTCTCGACGGTGCGAGCATCCCCGACGCGGCGAACGCGATCGTCGCCGGTGCGATGCTGCACTCGGGCCAGATCTGCATGTCGACCGAGCGCGTCATCGTGCAGCGCGGCGCCGCCGAGCCACTCATCGCCCAGATCAAATCGCTTTGCACGAATCTCACCGCAGGCGACCTGCAAGCCGGACCCGCGAGTGCTAAAATCGGCCCTCTGTTCACGGAGGCCTCGGCGGAGAACGTCATCGGCATGATATCGGAGGCGCAGGCGGGCGGCGCGGAGATTCTACTGGGCGATTTGGGGCGCCAGGGCGCGGTGGTGCACCCGCAATTGGTCAAGGGCGTGAAGCCCGGGATGCGGCTGTGGGACCGCGAATCGTTTGGGCCGGGTATGCCTCCTTTCCCTCTGCCTTATAATGATGTCTGAGACGCGGATAGTGATTGGGTTCGCTGTGGTCGACACGCCGGAGGAAGCGGTTGAGCTAGCGAACGCGACCGATTACTCTCTCTGCGCGTCTCTGTGGACGTCCGATATGTATATGGCACAGCGCATCGCGCCCCTTATCCGCGCAGGTATCATACTCTTGTCCGGATTTCTCTTGCGCGTGACTTACATGGCGCAGGGTACACAAACATTAACGGACCGACATTCCATAGCGAAAATCTCGTGAGCGCTGTGGGGCTCGGGTGCGCATTTTCCTCCCGACTCTTCTACTGATTGCTGACCTAGCACCTTATTTTCTTAGTGGGTCCTCTGGCTACGGGCACTTTGGCATCGACGATTTCACGGACAAACGGGTCATCACTACGCACCCGCTTGGCCGCCAGTACCCTGGGTTCCTCCATTGAGCGAAAAGGAGGGCTTGTATATGATCTGATTTGATGTGTACCAAAGTCGTAACTGTACCACCTGTACTTGTAAGTGTAGCCTTCAATGTAGCATGCTTAGCGTTATCGTTTGGTCGCGAGGGTTCCGGAGTCCGGACGAGTCGTGTAAAATAATGACTGAAATAACTTCATACTCTGCATGTAAACGACCGTTCCCCGGAAAAAAAATTATATTGTTTGCGGGTAACATATAATCGCCATCCTCAATCATAGCGGCGTGGCTGAGGCGAAGGGCAATATAACAAGTCTCTCCGGGTCCCACTGCAATGCGTGCTGTCAGGCCGGTCACCCACCAAATTGCATGTGAACCTACCACGCCCGAAGTATAATAAATGTCCCCCTCGATTATTGCCCTCACTGCTTCGATATTCTCGGCCTGGAAGATTATCATGGATCCAACCTGATTATCTTTGCGTTAATGCGCGCGAGCAACAGTGGCAGATTCAGATGTAGCCACTGACCATCTTCTTCTCCCCGCCCGTCAGGGACTCGGGAGTCAATAGAGCACCTCCCACGCCTACCGATAGCTAAGCAGGCTGGGGTGTGTCGATTAATAATACTCACGGACTTGTCCAGCTGGACGTTTAGCAGAGTTCTCCAAGTGCGTTGCGCGAACCGACAGGCGACGGTCGAAAGCGCCTTCATCGGTTTTGTCGGGCGCATAGACGGCAAAGAGAGGGAGGGCTGAGGTGGACGACATGGTAGGAATTCAGAAGAGATGTAGGCGGTCACCGCGCATTTATATTAGCCTACAAATAGCCTGGCGGACCGAAGCGGGCACGGCCGTTCAAGATTCGAAGTCACCGGATTGAGGGCGCCGGGAGGCCGGTCCATAGATGAACCAGAAAAAGCTTAATGGCCAGAGCTTGAGAACATCCAGATTCACTCCGTTCCCCTTGTCCTCCCCGTACGCATGCCAGCGCCTTGATTTTTCTTGAGGGGGGGAGCTCACGCACGGGCCTGATAAAAGTCGCATATTCGCCGTGCGCGGCCGAGAGAATCATTAACTATGTTGCACTTCGTATTTTCGTGGATCGTGGAGTTCCAGGACGGACAAAATCGGTTTTGTTGAAGCCGTGGCTGTGGCTGTGCCTCAGTGTGACAGACACCACGTGACGTGACGAGTCGCTCCTTGTCCACAACCCTCTCCCTCACCTTGCTCTCGCGCCTTCGGCTTTCTGAGCCCATTCTACGCTTTTGGTGGAGGCGAAACGAATATCCGAATTGTACAAAACATCTCCCGACCAAAGGGCACCTGTGGAGAGTCTCGATGACACCAAAACACCGTCTACGTAGCAGCAGTCCGTCGTCGGAGCCACCGAAAAAACGGAGGCATACAACCGGTGTACCCAGCTCACCCTCCTCATCCTTCTCACCCTTCTCCTTCTCCTACCCATACATCCCGTCGTCTACTCCATATCCCTCGCGTCCTTCCGACTCTCCCTCGAATCCCTTCGGACGGACACGGACCTGGAACTTGCTCCAATCTCTTCCTCCAGAGACTTCTTTCTCCAAGCATCTCCCCCTCCGCTTCCAATACGTGAAACGCGGGGTTCCCCGAGAGACCCTTCAGGGCATCTACCGCGTCGTGCAAGTGCCACAGAGCTACACCTTGGTGCACCTCAAGAATCTCACCGGTTTTCTGTTCGGCGGAGCGTACGGCCAGATACCGCCGGACCCCGAGGAGGACGACGCCATTCCGAGCCACGTCTTCGAGGTCAAGGATGGCATTACGCTGCACCACTCTTCCGTGAAGCCTGGTCAAATCATGTGCGGCACTACCTGGACGTACTCGTCGAGTGTTCTGGATCCGTACCTCTACTACCCAGATTGGGAGGACGAATCTGGTTCCAAGAGCGGCGACACTGAAAAGGGTCGCGACAGCTCAGACGACGACGCAGACGATGAACGAAAGTGGACGGCGGAGGAGGATATCACTATTGCCCATGTATGGCCGGAAGGCGGCGATATAAACCGAGGGATCGTCTATGTACGCCTTTCCTCTCTCCGTGATCTCTCAGCTAACACTTTCCGTCCAGAAACACTCCCCCCAACTTCAAATCCACATCACGATCAACACGACGAAGATCGAGTCCCGTAGGGGCCGGGGCAATCTCCCTCATGTCTTCAGCGCGTGCGGGCTCGTGTACCTGGAGGATCCGGTGGAAGAAGATGAACTAGAGGAGGAGGACCGCACAGCGCTGCTAGACCCCGAGAACTGGAACGAGCCCGACAACGCGTTTGCCACCTACTACGACAGAACCGCCATTCTCCCCTTTGCAGGCTACGAGCGCGATAACGGCAGCTCCCCAGCCGTCCCGTCCCTCACCTTCTCCTCATCACCACTCCGCGCCTCCTCCTCCTCCTCCTTCGCCGCCTCCTCCTCCCCATCCCACGCCGCGTCCCCCAAATTCCCCGCCGTCCGTATCTTCGGCTCGCCCGAGAGCTTAGGCTACCCGAAATTCACCCCCGCCCCGCGCCCATCGCAGCGCAAGCGCATCCGCCACCTGCAGCACCGCATCAGCACGCTCACGCGCATGCACGCGGAGGACGAGAAGCGCGGTCGGCCCAGGCCGCACAAGCCCAAGAGAAAGCCGCAGCGGCTGGCGTATGAAGATCGCGAGCGCCGGGCGTGCTCCGAGGAGCTCTGATGATTATTTACGATTCGTTCACGACCACTTAGCATTGTGTATAGTACCATCGCATTGTATTTCGCGTACATAGACTTACTGCTTGTTCTGTGTGGCTGGGTGTCTTGTTTCTTGATATATGCGAACTCTGAGCACTATCGCTCAAGAGGTTGGCGTTTTTGTGACATTAAGCAAAATGTCAAAAAGAAACTCTCGACCTGGGAGTCGAACCCAGCTTTCGCGCGGACAGATCAGATCACGCGTATGACAAGCGCGTGTACTAACCGATATACTAGTCAAGACGTGAAAGCGGGCAGTTTCTAGCGATTTTGACCTGCGGCGAGCCGTGAAACAGTGTTAGCCAAAGAGTGTCCGAAATAACACTCCGTGCTGAACGTTAACGCTGAACTCGCTCGCTCTTGCTCTTCTTTGTCTTTGAACAAGACCCGATTTCGTTTCCCTTTTGAAAGTGTTGGAGACTCCGGGAGGCACAGTTCGTTTAGCTTCCCAGCACAGCCATGACGAATACGCAAGTGGCCGGGATTTTATTCAAGCTCCTGGCGGCTGGCCGCCGCCGCATTGGTCAACCTCCGGCCATTCCCTCCCTTCCCTGGGTGTGAACCAAGTTCCTCAGTGAAGTGTCCCGTCCCAGTCAAGGCCCTGCCCTGAATGCCGATTTCCTGGCCTCGGAGAACGCACCATCCTGACTGGGCTCCTGGGGCCCGGTAGCCCGAGGTCTGCTGTCCCTTCCCTACATCGCTGACGATCCTTCAAAGCTGCCCGGTCTCCGGGCCTCTCGCGCGACTGTATACCACTCGAGCAGGAGCTCGCACTGGACGGACTATCCAATGTCGACTATGGACAGCAGAGATGACGAAGAAAGAGCGGGAGAGTGGAATGGGATTAGCACCGAGGTAATGGCGTGAGGCATGGACATCAAGGCTGCACATCTTGTGCCGCGGACTCCCCTTTGTCTTCCTCCGCCTGCTTGTTCATGATCATCTGCGCGGGTACGAGAATCGCGCCCTCTTAGTCAATAAGCCCTAAGTATCCCGCCCGAACGAGTCCGGATGATGTTGCGTGGTTCGAAATCATCGTGGACAACACCTCGTTTGGAAAGTCGGGCTCGTAGGTCTTCAAGTTGGCACCTAGTATTCAACCAGTTCAACCTTGATCCAATAACATGCGATGGAAAAACGCACCAACGCCGCGTCGATGTCTTCCGTACTCTGAACTCCCTCACGTGTCAAGGGCACACCAAGGTCCTCCAGTACAAGGCAATATACCCAAAAATGATTCGCATATACCCAGCCTTCCGCATAATACTTTGGGATATGGCGATAAATCGTACCCTCCGTCTTGACATCACTATCGCGGTCTGGGGGAAACACCGACGGCAGTGGGAAGCTCAAAGAGAAGGCTCGTCTCAGCACCGGCGAGGTCTCTACGACGTAGGCTACAGAATCAGGATGGTGGCCATGAAATTATCGACCTCCCTCTCATTGGATATTTCGCGTCCAAGGCGGGCATCAAGCACGGTCAGGCCCGCCGCAGCGAGGGGGGATAACTTCTGAGGGGCTGATGAGCTAAATATGGGTAGGAGATGTTCTGGAGACGATCTGACAAGCAGGGGGAAGATGTCGGAATGATCATGTTGACCGGAAGACGGCGAGCGGCGGGGGTCGCGCCTGGCCGGAACACCTTGGTGGCCGTTGGTGTATTAGAGCGAACGATATGGCGGCGTCTTTGGAAGTCGTACACCGCGAAATACTACTTCGAGCGGGGTTCCGGTTTTGAAAATCAGCATTGGGCTGAAAGAGTGTCTATGTAAGCCAAATGTAAGCACTCGGAAGATGAATTGAAGGTTCCCGTAGCTCAGTTCGGTTGCGGCTGCCTGTGAGATTTATTCAGGGACTTAAAGCAAGGGGTTGGATTTTCTATATTGCCACAGCCAGTTGGCGACTAACAGTATCTTGGTCAATCCGTTTCTACTTTTCAAGTCTCGAATCCGACTCGATGCCTCTCGATATTATGCGCGTCAATTGATCGAGTCCGTAGAGGCCGCTGGGTGTTTCTGTCTCTCCTTCAAGTCCACAAAATTGTGAGCCACTGATCATGAGGCGGGCGGCGAGTACGATGTGAGTCTTGGATGAGTCGGGAGCAGAGAGATAAAGTCAGCAAATGCGATCGACCTTCCAAATGCGGCCACTGACAAACCTCTTTTCCGACTAACCGCTTACAACGCTTACAAGAAATCCAAGACAGAGATGATTCATCGAATTTCACTCTCTGGATATGCTTGTAATGGCTCGCAAAGCAATCTGTATAAAAGGGGAGACTTGGAAGAGCACGAATCCTCAATCTCCTCCCATCTTCCGAGTCACAACCACAAAAAGACATGGTTCAAGATCTAATCCGCGACTCGACCATCGGCCAGGTCATAAATTACATCTCTAGGGGTCGTCTTCTCCCCTACCCCGAGCAGCGACCCGGCTATGTTGTGCCCCAGCACTTCCTTCTCCCCGCTTCCGAGCGAAAGATTCTGGACGCGGCTTCTTCTGATGCCGCGACACTCTGCGGAGACTGTGATAAAACTCAGGAGGGTTCGAAAATCTCATCCCGACCCGACACCGAAATAAAGCGCGAATCGACCTTGGTCGCTGATGCTGAAGCGCAGAAGCAGGTCGACGATTCCACACCCGTTCCGGATCCCTATCTCGTTGGATGGAACGGGGAGTCTGATCCTGAAAACCCTCAGTGCGTTTCCTTTTTGTTTTGTATCACAAACAGTCAGACTCACGGGCACGCAGAAATTGGTCTTTCCGGAAACGCGCCTTCGTCGCATTCGAAATCTCCTTCCTCACGTTCAGCATCTACATCGGGTCGGCGATATACACATCGTCCATCCCGGGGTTGATGACTGAGTTCAACGTTTCGTTGACCACCGCTACTCTCGGTCTGACGCTGTATGTTCTCGGTAAGTCTCCTCTGCTCGCGTTCCAACTCTTGTACTCATCTTCGCAACAGCGTACGGTATCGGGCCCATGTTCTTGTCCCCACTTCAAGAACTCCCATTCCTTGGCCGCAATCCGGTCTACATGGCGACTCTTCTACTCTTCGTCGTCTTCCAAATCCCGATCGTGACCGCGACGAACATGAACACCGTCCTTGCCATGCGCTTCATGACCGGCTTTTTCGGCAGCCCTGCGCTAGCCACTGGGGGAGCCTCCATGGCCGATATCTTCCCGCAAAAGCAGTTCGCATACGTGCTCGGAATCTGGGCCCTCGGTGCCGTCGCGGGACCCATAACTGGCCCGGTCATCGGCGGGTTCGCAGCGCAGGCAGAGTCCTGGAGGTGGCCTATGATGGAGCTCCTCTGGATCACCTCCTTCGCCGTCGTGTTTCTGTCCCTCCTCCTGCCCGAGACATACGGGCCGACCATTCTCCTTCGCCGCGCTGAACGCCTGAGGAAGCTCACGGGCAACCCAGAGCTGCGGACGACAGAAGAGCGCGACGAGGATTCGAAGAGCGCATGGGGCATCATGTACGAATCCCTCGTGCGGCCTTTCGTGCTGGCGAAGGAGCCCGCTCTCGCCTTTGCCAACATCTACCTTGGCTTTGTTTGTGCGTTGATTTATTACTCTATGTTGCCTATACTGACGATACTTCAGACGCCATCTTCTACCTCTGGTTTGAGGCCTTCCCGCTTGTCTTCATTGACATCTACCACTTCAACCAAGGCGTCAGCGGCCTGCCCTTCCTGGCGTTCATCGTCTCGGGTGGCATCACCTACACCGTCTATTGCATCTACCAGAAGTACCACATCGCCCCGCGGTACGCGCGCGCCGCCGCCGCCAACACCGAAGTCGCGCCCGAGATCCGCCTCGAGATCGGGCTCATGGCGAGCATCTTCATCCCCACGAGCGTCCTCATCTTCGGCTTCTCCTCCAAGCCGAGCGTGCACTGGATCGTCCCCGTCATCGGCGCCGCGCTCTACCTGCCCGGCATCTTTCTCAACTTCCAGAGCATCCTCATGTACGTGACGTCCGCGTACCCCGCGTACGCCGCATCCGTGCTCGCGGGGAACGACCTCTTCCGCTCCACCATCGCGAGCGTGTTCCCGCTGTTTGGGCGCACGTTCTTCACGAATCTGGGGCTGGGGCCGGGCTCGGCGCTGCTTGCGGGGATCTCGTTCCTGCTCATGCCTGTGTTCTGGCTGCTGCTCAAGTATGGGCACGTCCTGCGCCAGCAGTCGAAGTACGCGCACAGCCCGTAGTGCCGTCATTCGAAAATCGCATTCGCGCTCGGCGGTCTCTGGGCTGCCTACTCACATAGGGCTTGCAAGTGTTGCTCTCCCTCTAGACTATCCTACGACCATAGAATAATTTTGTATCTGTACTGGGTTTGTAGCGGTAAAACGATTCTCGTGTGTACCAATGTGAATTGATTCCTTCACGAAGAGTTTTCGATGAGCAAGAGTACATGCCAGCGCACTGTTTCCTCCCCACTGCTCGTGCCGCGATGTAATTGCCACTGACTCAAATACTCCAAAATCTCGAAATAATTGCCTTTTTGGTCTGCGATTGGTTGTTTTGCTTACTCGCAACGAGGCTTGAACCAAACTTTGACCGTTATTGACCGAATCTCTCCGGTGTGGCATTCAGAGGCAGAAAATGCCCGGGTCTCGACGAAACACCAGGGCGAAGCACAAAACCGTTGCTGAATCTGGCTCCCAGCCGAATCCCGGATCCCAACTGGATGCTTTATTCAACGAGATCGACGGTGCTGAAGGATGGAATCCAGTCATCGATATCTTGAGCCGTTATCTCGACCTACCCGGTTCGTATCATGGACGAAAACCAGCTCCCTCTATTGCGACTGGTGGCTAACGCGCGAGAAAGACATCATGACCCGCAGCGGTCTCAAAAAAGTGCATGCAAATTTTGACAGCATCTATCGACGCCTGGATAAGATCTACACCAGAAGTGGGTCGAGTGTGCGGGTCAAAGGCGGGATTGCTGGGATATATGCCCGCATGTCCGGTGACTCTATTTTGCGGAATAAGCTCTTTGAGCGAGGTGAGTCCCATTCACGCGTAGAATTCAGCTTTCGACCCCCACATAGGTTTTCTGAGCCAGATAATTCCGCTTCTGGACGTACCGCTATGCCGCTCCGTCGCCTTGCCTGCCCTTACGACGTGCACGCATCACGGTGGACTCGAAGCTCGTATGGAAATCGCGAAATCGTATCAGCCTTTGCTTCGTCTGCTACAAGAATTTCCGGAAGACCCGGAGATCGTCGA